TACGTGCACCCCGAACACAGACACACAAAGGGAAGGATGGCACATACGTGCACCCCAAACACAGACACACAAAGGGAAGGATGGCACATACATGTACCCCGAACACAGACACACAAAGGGAAGGATGGCACATACGTGCACCCCAAACACAGACACACAAAGGGAAGGATGGCACATACGTGCACCCTGAACACAGATACACAAAGGGAAGGATGGGGTGGGTAGGGGTATAACAGGTTCTTTACAAGGATAAATCACAGGCAGCAAGAAAACAGGACAAGCACATGCCCACTGGAACTGACCAGGGGCACGAGTGGGTAAGGCTATAGAAGCAAGGATCTCTCTGCCACCACCACTAAGGACACCAGCTGGCACAGCCACTCAAGAAAAGTCATAGTATCACCAGGAAATACTAAGACGTCACTTCCAGGATTATACCTAAGAGAAACGAAAGCACTGCAGAGACCTGTGTGTGAATGTCACTGTGACATTACTCAGAAAAGTCCCAAAAAAGCCAAGTGCAGGAGCATATCACTCGTGGTGCCAGCGCTTGGGAGGCTGAGGCAAGAGGACCTAAGCAAGACCCTATCCATGGAGAGAAAGCACTCAAGTGGAAACCACCAAACCACTCACAACAGGCATCAGCAGACCAGAGCGGGCTAGTGCTGGCACTGAGAAGCACACAGCATAAGAGGAACTCAAACACTAGAGAGAGGGCTAGGCAGTCAGGAGCATCTGCTGCCCTTGGAGAGAACCAGAGGTTGATTCCCGTCACTCATACCAGCTAGCCCTCCAACTCCAGGGTACTGGAGACCTTTGGCCTCTGAGCTGCACTTGCACGGGTGCTCACATAGGTGCATACGTAACATAAACACATAAATACACAGGGACTGAGGGTGTCGGTCAGTGACTAGAGTCCTGCTGACCAGGCACAATGCCCCAGGTCCAATACCTCACACCACCACGTCGGCCTGGTGAGACATGCTTGCAATCCCAGTAACCAGGAGGGAGAGAGAGACAGGTTCACACCTTAAGGTCACCCTCTATATAGCTAGTTCAAGAGCAGACACTAGCTCAAAAAACAAAGCCATAGATCCACACTGGAGAGAGCAGGCAGAGAGTGGGGAAATGTGTGTGCTTCTGGGTCACTTGAGGGTACACACTGAAACTCAGAGCTTCAGAGTACCACCATCTGGCTGGCAGTCATCAGCAGGGAAGATGCCTTGCAAGGCCCTTTGCCACCCTAGCACACCCAGCCACCTTTCTGCTACAACAGTGCCAGCGGCATGCTTGGTCCTTCCACAGCTCCCCTGCCCCTAATGTGTGCTTAGCACACAGTAGGGAAGTATCTGTCCCCTGATCATTGCTCAGTATATGCATGGACATGACCAGCAGTGCCTCGCAGGACTGGGCTCACATCTCTGTTAGCCTACAGCCAGGCTGTTCCACAGAATGGGCCCACAGAGAACTGAAGAAATCCCAGCAGGCAGCCAGGCTCACACATCCACACAGGCGGGATGGATGCCAGCTGCAGACTGAAGCACTGAGACCCTAGGCCTCACCTGCCAGCAGAGAAACTGAAGCCAGGGCAACCTGCCAGAAAGAAAAGTCTAAGAAAGAAACTGCAGAGTGGGTGGGTACACCAGGGACGCCGCTTGGGCTTTATGGATTTCCTGATGTCCTGAAAGTCCAATGTATATCTGGACTTTCAAAGACTTTGACCCCACAAGCTCCAACCCATCAACAGCACGAACAGAGTCCTTCGACTCTCCAGGCTCGCAGACTCACTGTCCTGTAAGAGTCAGGGCCACAGGGTGCCTATCTAGGCTGTGGGCACGCTGTAGCACACTCTCCAGGGTGCTCACCTTGGGCGGATCGAAGAGCTGCAGAAGGTGGCCGTGGCCTGGACCTGGCGACCGAAGCACCAGGCGACCCCGCTGCCAGCGCGCGCCACTGTCCATTGCCGCCTCGTCCGCCAGGCTGTAGCGCAATACCACCTCCTTGAGCGCCTCGGCGGACGGCTCTCGCAGGCTCCAGGGTAGCAACTTGCGGGCCGGGCCCGGCCTGGTGACGGCGGCGGTGTCGGTGTCATTGGTGTCGCTGGCAGCCCCCGGCAGCTCGCCAGCCGAGCGGCGGCGGAAGAGCTGGCGCAGGCCGCGGCGCAGGTGCTGCAGGGCGCAGGCGGGCCGCGGGCCCAGGTCCTCGGAGCTGCGTGCCTTGGGCAGCGCGGGGCGGGGCGGAGCAGAAGCACGGTAGTCGTGACCCTCGCGCACCTCCCGGCAGAAGTGGCGCTGGAAGAGCTCGGCGAACTGCAGCGACACCAGGTCGGCGCGCGGCGGCTGTGGGTGTGCGCGCGCAAACAGCCAGTACTGGCGGGCCAGCTCCCGGGCCGCCGCTGCCGCGTGCCGCTCGCAGAAGTCGCTCCAGCCGCGCGGGGATGCTGGCGAGGCGGGTGCCGAGGATGTGCGGGACGGCTGCACGGTGGGCTCGTTCATGGTGGAGAGCGAGGCGGGGCGGCCGGGCTGGAAGACAAGTCAGAAGGCAATGAGTCCAGGGAACGTCCCCGCCCCCGCGACCACCCCGGAAACATCCCGCACGTGGAAGCCAGCGGGCCTGCAGCTCCCACGCAGTGGATACAGTGGGTAGGCGAGATCTACCAGGGAGGCGCTGCCTCCTTCGGGGTGGGGGGCTCTGAGAGCTCAGCACCACTCAAGAGCCATGCTTGGGGCGTTCCAGAATTTTCCATCTCGTATTTCCAGGCCTCAGTTGACCATATGAAGTGAAATATCGGATGAAGGGAACTCCCTACTAGGAAACAGGCTACTCATAGCACACCCAAGTAAAAGCTGACAGGATAGCCAGGGCTGCTTTGTAAAGACTAACACACAGGCTCTCTGCCACCCATGCTGGGTGCTCTAAAGCGGTACAGCTTCTGTGGGGCCGTCTGACTAACTTCCTACAGTTAAAGGCTTTAAGGTAAACACTGCTCATAGGCCCAGAGCCTTAGCCACAGCTCCCTGCTGTTGCTGACAACCCCATCAGCAGGGAAAGCTGGGGAAGCGAGGACCCTGGTTTGTCCCCTAGCAGGAGGCAAGGAGCAATCTACCACCTCTTCCAGGAAGCTCCAAGTTCAAACCTACCCTCCACCCTGTAGGACTTATTTACTCAGCACACAAACCAAAGCTCACATCTTTCTCCAGCTAGTTTTTACAGGTATGGGAAAACATTTGTTACAGGAACACGTAATGGTGAACAAGAAAGGCCTGGAGAGCAGACCCACCCTGAAATGGAAGACTGTGAGGGCAGATCTGGGGTACATGGGAGTAACTGAGGCAGAGGAGTAGCTCTAGAAAGTATGGTTAGAAGCATGGGCTCTGGAGCCTGGGCCCGGATCCCAGGTCCACTCTCACCAGTTAAGTGACCTTGAGTGACCTCACATGGTTTCCCACCTCAGTTTCCCATGTCAGAGGAACTCATCCCGCCCACTTCCGGGTCCTACAAAGACTCAATTATGAATGGCTTAAAATCTGGGAAAGTTCCATGTGACTGGCTACTGCCCTCACATAGTAAGTGTTGTTGCCAGTGTGGGGACAGCCACACAAAAGATGAAAAACAGGACTGGTGAGAGGGCTCGGTGGTTAAGAGCACTCACTGCTCTTCCGGAGGTCATGAGTTCAAAGCTCGCAATCATCTGTAATGAGATCTGATGCCCTCTTCTGGGTGTCTGAAGACAGCTACAGTGTACTTAAATATAATAAATTTTAAAAACAAAACAAAAAAAAGCCTTGCAAGCAGTGACCAGAGCGAGGAGGGAGGAGCAAGAGGGAGAAGGTAAGGGGGGAAAAAAAAGATGAAAAGTAGCCTGTAATGACCAGACTCAGGAATGTAAGCATCTCTTGGCTTTATGGAGAACTCAGGGAGACACAAGTGTAACAGTCAGGATGCCCACGGGTTAACCCTGCACTGTCCATGGTGTCCAAGACCCACCTCCATCCACTCCCTCAGACTCTCCCCACAATACTGAGGGTCTACTGTGTGCCAGGCACTGCAGTGGGCCCAGGGACACAACAGTGAACAGATAAAAGATTTAACATCTTAGTGTAGTGGCCTGTGCTGTAATTCCAGTACTGGAAAGATCAGGAGTTCAAGATCATTCAAGGCTACCCTGTGATTTGTGAGACCTGTCAAAACAGAAACAAACAAAAAACAAGCCTTATCCCCCAACCCAGAGATCACTGCCAGAGGACCAGGCACAAGACTTGTGGACACCTCAATTTCCCATTCATTAAATATGTGTCAGGAGCCCTGGCAAGAGGCTAGAATGGGACTCTCTGCTGTCGCTACCCCACAAGTCACTTTTTCCTCTGTGGCCTGTGCTCTGCAAGTCCCAAAACAGACAAAGAAGGGTGGCCAGCACCTGACAAGACACTTCAACTCTAATGCAAAGGCCTGTGGCCCCACTGGGAGGCACTCTGCACTCTGTCAGTACTTTGCATACCATGCTACAAAAACGATAAGGTCCTTAGCACACAGTAGGTCCTTTGCACATAGCAGCAAAAGCCAGGAGTCAGAAAGAAATAGGCTAAACCTAACCAAGCCCATCTCATTCTGTCACCTCCCCATGGAAGTACCTGCTCCCTGGGACATGTGGCAGTGTCATACCCCGTACACTAGGCCTTGAACTGCTACAGTCAGGCACAGCCTCCACAGCCTGGATGACCCACAAGCAGAGTGCACACACAGCTCCAGCCCCATCTGCAGACTGCAAGGGCCACTGGGCTGTGTTCTTGCATCCTCCTCCTCCTCCTCCCAAGAGGAGCACAAGTCCAGAATCTCTCCTCAGCACACTTGTCACACACAGCTGTCCTGAGCAGTGGGGATGTGTCCGTGGCCATCTCCACCAGACCTAGAGCACACCTGCTCTCCTGCTACAGCAGAGGATCCAAGACACAGTCAAAAACATCAGTCTTTTACCATGCAGCCCAGACTGGACTTGGGTACACCATCCTCCTGCAGGCCTGGCAAGAATAACGAAGATTTTTTCTCTTTAGGATGGCCTCCTTCTACCTCCAGCTCCTGAGTGCTGGGTTTACGGGCATGTCCTGGGCTTCTGTGGTGCTAGGAATGGAACCCAGAGCTTCCCACATACTAAGTAAAGCTTCCAACTAAGCTCCACCTGTATACAGACAGTGCCTGCCGACCAACATCACCTGCCAGCCATCATCTTGCCCTGCCTGCCTTCTGGGCACCCTATGCTGTCCACATCTGTCCCTTCATTTGGAACATGTGTCTGTCTATTCACTCTGTATGCCAGGGTCTAAGGCTCAGCTGCCGAGCCAGACCCTGGCAGGACCTTCCACGCTCCCCAACAGCCAGGCCTAGCCGTGTGCTCACCCCAATGGCCCTCACATGGCATCCACCGCGCCTAGCCACTGTTCTGACCACTCCTGCAAAGACAGAGTTCAGGCATCACAGAACCCCTATGGTGTGATCAGTAACAGCAGTCACAGAAGGCACTCCAAAGTGCCCAGCCGCACCCCAGGAACTAATTTGCTTCCCTACAGAGCTTACAGCAGAGAGCCAGGAATGTGAAGGACTGTTTTAGCTCTGCTCAAGTAGAAAGGGACCAGTGCCCCTGTTCACAGCCCAAACCTGCCAACTGTTTAGAAATCGTGGCAACGACAAAGCTCATCCACTCACATCCTGAATGCAAACTAGCTGGGTGTCCTGTCCTTAAGTCCAAGTCAAAGATAGGGAAAGGTGGCATGGGAGGCAGGTGGGCTTACTCAAGGGCCTGCCAGACGCCATCTAGAAGGCTCCATCTAGAGGGCATGGATCCCTACCAGCCTGCTCACAAGCGCAGGCTCCAGTCAGCCCCAGCACCCCAGCCATCTTCACCATTCAGGGGTGCACCTGCCACCCTCAAGTCTGCTCAGATCAAGTACCCCAGATCCCTGGCAGCCGGGCAAGGCAGACTGGCACTCCAGGCTCAGGTCACATCCTACCCACCTCAACTCCAACATGGGACTCTAGGAACACCCCTGTGAGGAAGAGAGCACCCCTAGGACCTACCCCCATAGCATTAGGGACAGCCTCCACCCAGCCCTCCCCAAGGGCAGCGGGGCAGGCAGGCAGGCTTTGATGGGCAACCCCAGCAGCACTGAGAGCTGAGGAGAGGCACAGGCTGGAGAGGAAAGTGGCTGTGCTGTTGATTGCTGACACTTACAGCAGTAGGGGTGAGTCGAGCCGCCCACCCGCCAGGCCCGAGCCTCAGGGGGCACCCAATTCTAGGTCAGGCAGCACGGGAGACATGGCTATGGGACACAGAACATCCCAGCGTAGCTGGCTCCAGGCTGAACGGCCAGGGAGGCTAAGCAGCAGAAAGGTGGTCCCCTCTAGTGACTGACACCACTTCCCGTGTGCTAGGTGACGAAGCACGGCTGCTGAGCTTGTGATAGCCCAGGGCAGAGTAGAGACGCCGTGACAAGGAAGGACCAAAGTTCAGCCCCAGGAGCGAGCAGCACATCCAGTTTGTGAAGTGCTCGATGTCCGCGACACGGCTCTCCTCACCCACAGAAGATACAGTCTTATCTGCCTACCTGGATTTAGCCTCAAGGGATTCTCCTGATTCCCCACCCTCTGATAGGTGCCAGAGTGATAGAAAGAGCTGAGCCCTGGGTAGCTTGTTCCCTCAACCCCAAATAAGCAAGCAAACATGCAGAACACATCAGAGTATAGTCAGCAAGGTAGGCAGCGCCCCTGAACACCCCCACAGCCCCTATTCCTCTGCCACAGGCCGGGCTGGTCCCTGGGAGCCACAGCCTGACTGGTGCTCCTGCCCAGGCCCAGCCATCCCAAGGACATAGAGGGCCTGTCCAATAACCAAGAATGGAAGGGTGCTGGAGGTGGGGGGTTCTGTGACGACCCCTGGCCCAGGACTCCAAACACAGCTCCGCAACCTCTTAGCTTTGTCGCCAGCACCACCATCTCACAGGGAGCAGAGGAAGCTTCAATACCTGGAGGCTCCACCTACCAGGCCAGGGAGGGATGTGTGTGTGTGTGTGTGTGAGGTGGGGGCAGGTCTGGGAGGGCACAGATGCTGGGACAAGAAGCCCTGCCACCCTCTAAAGGTTGCCTCCACCAAACTGACTACACTGCAGAATTGAGAAGACCTAGTGCACATATCTCACATTCTAGCCCAGAGGAAGCAGGGTGCAAGGGAATCAGCTTGGCCCTACAAGACGAAGGTTAGACCACCTGGCAGCCAGTAAGGTCCATCCTGAGATCACCAGGCTGGCCCAGTCTACCAGAATAGGAAGTGTCGCCTGGCTTCCTCTGCCCTACCTCCCAAGTGCACCCATAACACACACACAACTTGACATTCCAGACAGCTATCACCGTAAGTAGGCTCCAGGAGGTAGAATGAGCAGGGAAACAGCCCCCAAGATTGGTGTACCCCCCCCCCCCAACCCCGGCTGGGGCTTCCTTTACCAGCCCCAGGGTTGACAGTGGCAGAAGTGATGACAGATGAACCTCACTGCCAGGGAGCGCCTCACCAACTCCTGAACTGCCTGGGGCCTTGAGGAAGAGAACACTGACAGCCTCTGGACCTCATGTGCCCCTCCCCCCAGATGAATCCTACGGACTCTCTGGAGATGCCACCAGTGTAAGGCAAGTCTACCTCCTGCAATAAGAGGCTACACTGAGCCCCCACCCCCAAGTCTGGCCCCACCCCCAGTCAGCTGCCGTGAGTCAGCCCCACAAGCAGGGCACAGACTTCCTCCCTCCAGGCCTCCCAGGAGACCAAGCTGCACCCCCCCCATCAGCTGGGGGGGGGGGCACATCCGGACAGGCCCCAAGGGGCTCCAGGACTGGCTCACAAGGAAGCCAGGGGGCTGGCCCCCCTGCCGACCCTTGACAGGGTTGTGTGGGAGGAAAAATCTTTCAGCCATCTGCTCAGCTGCTGGGTTTCCGGCTGGCCAGGGTGGGGCAGGCCATCAGGTCCCTTAGGGACTTGTCTCTTGTTCACATGAGAAGGGTACTGTACTAGACTGGAGAGCTCAGTGGCATGGGGTTAATGAGATCCCCAGAGCACTGACCAAGAGACACCGGTTGTCCAAATCATAGGGCCCAAGCAGATGGTGTCTAACAGTGCCCAAGGACATGCAGCCACCCAGTCCCCGAGGGACCTCAAGCCCCCGGAAGCTGGGAGCTGGGGTGCGGGGATCCTGGGTCCATGTAGGCATGACTCAGCCAGTGACCCCCACTGAGTCATTTCCCCTAAGCAGCCTGTCAGCCTCAGTTTCCTCGGGAAGGGTGGGTGGCCAGGAACAGGCCTGGCAGGATGGAGCAGCCCCTCCAGACACTCCAGATGGAAGCTGCTTCCTGCCTTGCCCTCCCGTGCCCAACCAGAGATGCTCAACACCCAGGGTCCCTGGGGACCATTTTCCCAGGAAACCTGGCAATTAAGAGCCAACCACTACTGGATTAAAAGCAATAGCTTTGAATGTATTGAACACTAGCATGCCAGCACTGCATGCCTCTCCCCAAACAACTCTGTCCTTCAGCATCTTCACTCCAGACTGCCAACAACACTTGTAGCTCAGAGATGGCAAAACCCAAGCCTAAGACCTCAGAGTCAGGTCAGTTATAGCCAACCTACTTCAAACGCCTGCTCCCTGTGGGGCTCCTCCAGGGTACACAACTACCCTAGAGGGGCAGGAGACTTGCCTGACACTGTGCAGGTCCCAAGAGATGTCCGGTAACTTGCCCAGGGCCTCACCCCTGAAGCTAGCATATTCTGGATTAGTCTCCACATGAGTGCCGCTCCAGGGAGAAGTAAGTGGGGACTTGATAGGAAAGACCTCTCATTTCAACAATGCTATCTGCTCCATCTCTGTGTGCCAGCAATTAAAACCCTTCCCACTCTTGATGACGTCATCGCCTCAGAGACGTGCCCACCCAGAGTCATAGCAATGGGGCATTCAGAAGCTGACTAGGCTCAAAAGGTGGGTTGGACCCCCAAAGACCTGCTCTGCAAAGGGTGTAATACAGGCCCAGGCAGTTAGATCCTTGAGAGGTCACCAAAAGCCTCCTTCAGCAGCTCATGATGGAGACAGCACTCTGGGCCTGACAGCCAGAAGGGGCTCCCAAGTACCTCCAGCTCTACCCCAGAAGAGGAAGAAACCAGAGGGTGGCCCGACTAGACTAGACAGCCTGAAGCACACAGCCCAGCTACTCAAAGGAAAGGATGTCAATTGTCTAAGAACCATTTGAACGGTGTGGCGAGGACCAGGCATTGGGTGACATTTGGTGCCAGAGAGTCAGGAAGGAAGAGGAACAGAAATGACCTCAACAAAACAGATAACACCCTTGTCATGACTGCCTGCCCTCCTGATCAAGCCATCCTGTGCTCTGGTGGCCCTCACAAGTAGGTGTCAACTGAGGAAACCCAGACCAGGAAGGGGTTGTCATCCGACCCTGCCCAGGGTCCTTCAGAGTTCCCTGCCCACAGACTTGGGAAACCCCAGAGCAGCTGTGCTCGGGAGAGCTGAGGAAGGTCCCACAGCCAGGGTCAATATAACTGGACAGCGTGAAAACCAACAGCCTGTAATTGAGCCCGTCTCCCCGCCAGGCACAGGTGCCTTCCACGCGGGGTTCATTAAAACTGCGCCGCAAATCTCCCATTATTCACTTAACAGAGGGGAAATTGAGGACGCGGCCCTCATCTTGGAAAGCAGAGGAGAAAGAACACAAGTTCTGCCTCTAGGACCCTCTGTTTCCTCTTTTGCCCCTGCCCAGCCCTCGAGAATCCCCAAACCACAGCTGCTGTCGCTTCGGGCCAGCCCCTTCCTAGCTGACCGCCTATAGGGACTGCACAAGTTCCAGAATGTATTCACCCCTTGGCTCGGATGGAGGTTCCTCCCAGGGGGGACCTGTGGGACAAGGTTCAGAAAGTGTTCTAAGAGCATAAAACTCTCACAACCTCAACTTCCCCAGCGGGCCCTGGCCTGTCATGGCCTGTGGCCCACCCCCTACCCACCATCTCTGCCTGATTTCACCTTTAGGGCTCCGCATGCCACCCCTGTGGATCACCAGGGTCCTAGTGACACACGTGTCCACCCCCCAGCCCGCGGCAGGGGCCAAGCACGCTGTGTGCCGGGACAGCTCTCGGTTCCTCCCGCGGCGCCCCGCCAGGCTCCTCTCCGGAGGCCCCAGCTGCAAGCACTGACCTCCGCGCCCACATCACTGCGGTCTGGGATTGGGGAAGAGAAACAGAATGAGGAAACGCCAGAAAACAGAAGCGGGACGCGGGCGGGCAGCCGGACGCCCGGCCCAGTTCCTCCAACACGCTCGGCGGGCCGCGCTTACCGCGCAAGCTGCGGGTCGGGGCCCGGCCGGCCCATGGCGTCGTACGGCCTCTCGGCGCTCAGGCAGGAAACCCCGGCTCGGAAAACGGCCAGCGCCTCATTTCCGCCGCCAGCTCCTGACAGCAGCCCGGGGACGCGGTCCCGGGCCGCCTCCGGGACGCTGCTGCCGCTGCCGCTGTGGCCCCCGTGGCCCGTGACAGTCTGGGCGGGAGAGCGGCCAGGCGGAGGCGACGGCCCGAGCCCATGCCGCCCCACGCCGTTATGTAAAGAGGAACCGGCCGCGAGCCGCGCGCGCCGCAGAGGAGGGTGGCCTGGAGGCGTGGCCACAACGAGCCACGCCCCTGTGCCGCCTGCCGAGGCCAGGGGCGGAGCCTATCCAGGCCCCGCCCTCCCCTCGCGCCTCCGCCTGCTGCCCGGTGGGAGGCAGAATAGCGACAAGCTCCGCCCCCAAAAGGCACGCTCTCTACCCCGAGTTGCGTCGCGCCCCCTAAAGAAGGGGAAAGAACCTCAAAGGGGAGGAGTGTGCTCGGCCCCGCCCCTCTCGCGCTGGCCAGTCACCACGTGCCTCAGTGGGCGGGGCTCCTGGAATGGATGGGCGGGGCTAGGCTCGCGATGGGCGGGGCCGCCCCGACCTTCGGGACCTCGTGGGGGTGCGCCCCTGCGGACTCCCTCCAGCCGAGCCTTATCTGAGCTTGCCCGGCCGGGTCTAGCAACTGCGACCGCGGCTTTCATCACCTCCCGGGGAAGGGGCCAGCCCCGCCCTGGCCCCGATCTCCGTGGCCCCACCGAGCCGTCCTGCCTCGGCGGCGCTATCCATTCGTGTTCCGCTCCCCTCCTAAGGTCCTCGGAGTCCCGGACCGGGCCGAGTAGGCGGTTCTCTACCTGGCCGCCCGGCCGCTCTCTAGCTTGATGAAACTTTCTCCAAGAGCTCCTCCGCATCCCAGGCAACCGAGCCCTTTGAGCTTCCACGTCTGCGCGCCCCTTAAGCCCTTTACCTTTTCTCTACCGCCACATGGGGGGTGCGGCTAACAGTGGGGTGCCCCTGTTCTGAAGTGGAGTCACTGCACGCCAGTCTTCCCCGCGACTCTAAGATGGGAGGGGAAAGAGGAATGTCTGTCCCCTCCCCCTCCCCCAACAGGAAGCAGGCCGCCCACGCCCCCAGCTTGGAGGGGCCACTGCAAGCCTTCCCAGACGACAGGCTCCCACGAGCCGCTGGCTCCCTGGAGCCACTGTCTTCCCCTTTTTTGCGTGGGACCAAATACTTGATCCCCTCCAACTCAGTTTTTTCATCTATGAAATGGAAATAACACGTGTCCCCAGCCCACTCAGGGACTGGAAGAAGTGAGTTGCTTACATTAGAGCAGTTAACCAACCGAGCTTCGGTCCCCGGGCCTCCCGTTGGAGCCCTAGGAAGGGACTCCCCCGTAGGTGGGGATTTCCACTACCATCGGACGGCGGCAAGCAGGGGCCTGGTAGCAAAATGGCTTGGAAGAAGCCCACTCCCCCCATCCCCCCCCAAAAAAAAACGCGCGAAGGCGATGTCTACGATGCGACGGGCACTGTAAGGTGCTTGTGGACACGAGTTAGTGATTCCCTCGTGGGGGCGGCACTCTGGCTAGGAGACAACACCGGTGACAACTCCGTTGTGGAGTTGTCTTTATTGGCTGTCTTTGGGACGCAGGAAGAGAAATATTTGGGTAATATTTAAGCTGAGATCTCTCCCACATGATGAGGAGGAGAGGCATTCCCGGCCAGAGCAGCGCAGACGCAAAGGCCCTAAGGTGCCTCCTTAGAAAGTAGACATGGCCCCACCTCCAAAGAAGGAACTTGTTGGCCTACACGTGCCGTCTTGGAGGCCTAGGTGCAGAGTCGGGTTTGGTTTGTTGTTTGTTTGTTTGTTTGTTTGTTTTGAGGGGGGTGGGGAGCCATGAAGAACCGCAAGAAAGAGAGGGCCCTGATGAGTTCTGCCACAGAGCCTGGGGTAGGTGTCCCCATTCGGGGACGCAGCATCTAAGGATGGCTTCCGCGAAGTCTAGCCTGATTGGCCCATAACACGCTCCTTTACAACACCTGGGGCGACTGCCGGGTACCTGCAGCCTCGCTGTGGCCCCGAGGCGCGCGCGGAGCATCAGGTATTGGCCTTTGCCAGATGGTGGCTGCAATCTGCCAGCCGCAAGCACTTTCCCTCTCGTAGCCGACTGCAGCTCTGCTGAGTTAAATGGAGACTTGTGGTTCTTCCTCTTTTTAATCACAGGCCAGCCCTGCCTGCCAGATTTCTCCGAGGCCCAAACCCGTTTCCTTCCTCGCGCTCAGTTTCTTCTCGCTCGCCCGGCGGGGCCCGCCCCAGTCCGGGTTCCCTGAGAGCCCTGCAACGTCAGAGTCTTTTATTTATTTGTGTTTTTTCATTCCGAGGGCAAAGGACTCCGAGGCGGGACCCTGCGGTGACAGCAGCGACCCCGGGGTTCTGCGCCCCTGGGGATCTGGCTCCTCCACCCAGCAGGGCTGAGGGTTGAGGGGGAGGACGTCAGTTCCCACGGCTGGCGGGGACTGCCGGAAGCAGTCTGTCCACTCCCAGGGGCCGGGTCACCCGCCCTTCCTTCCTGCTGAGGGCAGCAGCTCAGGGTCCACCTGCAGGGACCCAGGTGGCCAGGTCAGAAGGACAACTAAACCTAACCCTAGCAGGTTCTATAAGTCAACAAGGTCACTGTCAAACTATCAGCCAGGTGCACTGAATGACTGGAGGTAGGGACACTTAGCGGTGGAGACGGGAGGATCCCTTCAAGGTCAGCCTTGGCTACCTAATGAGTTTGAAATCTGCCTGGGCTACATGAGACGCTGTCCCAAATCAAACTAACTGGACAATACCAACGAAGGTTAACCAGAGCCAAGAGGATTAGTAAGTCAACGATCCAAGCCATTCATGTGGTTAACATGAACAGCAACAAACATTAGCCAGATATGACTGGGGCTTCGGCAGGTTAGGGAAAGGGCTTAGTGTGCAAGCACGAGGACCTGCGTTCGAGCCCCAGCACCCATGCAAAACCCAGACAGGACCACTGGGGCTTGAGGGTCAGCCAGTCTAGTGGCCCCATCCAGCTGGTTACTTCAGTGAGAGAATCTGTCTCAAAAATATAAAAAAAACCTAAAAAGCAAACGAAAGGAAAATGAACAAAAACAAAAGAAAATTGTGTGTGTGTGTGTGTGTGTGTGTCCAGTGTCTTTACTCCTAGCATTCAAGAGGCAGAGGCAGGTGGATCTCTGTGAATTTGAGGCCAACCTGGTCTACCTAGAGAGTTCCAGGCTAGCCAGGGCCACAGTGTGAAACTGTCTCAAGAAAAAAGAAACGACCTGAGAAACTTAAAAAAAAAAAAAATTAAAATGTGTAGCTCAAGTTGGTACCATGGTTCCCATGTGTAATGACAGCACTCTGGAAGAAGAGGCAGGAGGATCACCCTGAGTTCTAGGCCAGACAGAAGAACATAGTGAGACTCTGTGACAAAAAAATAAATAAATTAAACGTACAGCAGGTGTGCTGTGCTGGCACACTTATGATATTCCAGCAGTGGGGAGGCAGACTCGGGAGGACCTCTTCAGTCCATGAAGAGGCCACAGGCCACCAGCCCTGAGCGGACGTGGGAGGATGCCATCTTGGGAAGGGTTAGCCAAGCCTTGTTAAGAGTTCCCACCAAAGACAGCCCCAGCGACTCCTACTTTTGATTTTTGTTTTCAAAGGGTCTTGCTGTATAGCCCAGGCTGTCCTCAAGCCCATGGTAATCCTTCTGCCTCAGCACCTCCCAAATATTAGGATATCAGGCATGTGACACCAGCCCTTTTAAAAATTAGTATTTATGGCCTGGGAGTGGTGGTGCATGCCTTTAATCCCAGCATTTAGGAGGCAGAGGCCGAAAGATCTCTGAGTTCGAGGCCAGCCTGGTCTACAAAGTGAGTTCCAGGACAACCAGAACTACACAGAGAAACCCTGTCTCAAAAAACAACAAAAGTATTTATAAAGAGGAAAAAAAATGTATGAGATTTTCAAAAGAATAAATTTAAAATATTAAGAACATCTTTATGTGGATGGAGAGATGGCTCAGGAGTTCAGAGAGCTGGCTGCTCTTGCAGAGGTCCTGACTTAGGTTTCCAGCAACCACGAGGCTGCTTACAACCTGTAACTACAGTTCCTGGTGATCCAGCGCCCTCTTCTGGCCTCTGCAGGTACACACATGTGATACACACACCCATGAAATTAAGATCTGTAAAAATAATAGTTTTCTATTTAGTTTGGGCTGGCGAGATGGCCCAGCAGGTGAGGGGGGCTTGGTGTCAAGCCTGGCGACCTGAGTCCCATCTCTGGAACCCACATATAGAGAAAAGAACAATTGACTCTCATAAGTTGTCCCCTGATCTCCATACAGGTGCCATAGACACTGACCTGAACTCTTGCTCGTCCTACCTCAGCCTCCCCAACTGCTAGTGTTACAGGAAATGTCCAGCGGCCAAGCCCAGATTCCATTTGAGACTCTGCCCTCCTTCATGACCTTGAGTCACAATTCCCGAAACTGCATCTGGATTTCCAAAACCATGGGACAGTGAAGGAGAGTGTTACCTTGGAAACAACCGTGACGGGCGTCGGTTTGTTACACAGCCATTGCTAGCTAATACAGACCTTAAGAAGGTCCCATGGTGTTCATCTAATCTGCTCCCCACACTTGGGATTCAGCAATGGCTCAAAGAGCTCAGCTGGCAGCTTTGGCCCTGGCATCTCTTACCCGTATCTGCTGGTGCCTCTGCACTCAGAAGTCCCAAGCTGGATTCCTGTGGGTCTGATCTGCTGAGCTAAGGAGCCAGGCTCCATCTATCCCCTCTGCTTCCTCTCTGGGGCTAAGGTTCCCTTTTCTGTGCTTTCTGTCCCTTCCCCGTGAAATCTGCCACAAGTATAGTCAGGTGTTATGCTC